AGTTTAAAATTCATCTAGTTTTAAAATAAAATATTTGTACCAATTAGATCTACATATTTTTAATTATTATCAAAAAATTCTATATATATATTTTTAAATTTAAACACGCTGCTACATCCCACCACCATCGAATTTTCGTTAGACGGTCACCGGAGACTCACCGGAATGTTCAATATCACCGAAAAGTCGTCAGAGTATTATCAGAGTGTTCTGAATATCACTGAAAGTCGCCGGAATGTCCAGAACATTCGCTAGACGTCAAGAATATCATCGAACACTCACTAAAATGTCCAGAATATTGGCCAGAAAAATAATAAATGGAGAAATTAAAGTGAAAAAACATATCAAAAGTGCTAACTATTGATAAATTGAAGAGAGAGGAAAAAAAATAACAGCAACAATGAGGAAAAAAAAAAAACATATATGATTTTTTAATTTTTGTAGAGTTTAAGCAAATAATTTCTAATATTGATCAAACTGAAAAGCAAGTTTTGAAACTGTAAAATGTTACAATTTCAAAGTATAATTCTATTAAGCATTTATCTACACTAATCAAACTGAAAAGCATATTATAAAATTGCAACATTTTACAATTCTAAAAAATGCTATGAAACTGTAAAATTTTACAGTTTTAAAGCATGATTCATTTTAACACACACACACAAAAAAAAAATTGAAACTGTAAATTTTTACAAGTTTCACTACCTGTAACTAAAACTCGAAAATAACTTGTTCAGAACTTAAAAATTTTCTCCATTAAAATAGGAATAGAAGTGTAGTAGAAAAATTATAAATAATAAAAAAAAACTGACAGATCGAAGGAGAGAGACAGATATATAGCGAGGATTGTACTCCGACAGCTATTTTTTATTTGGATCTAGTCGGATCTGACATGAGTAGATCTACTCATCTTCTTCGTCGAAAACTCATCTCCTTCGTCATCGGTAAGCGTGAAGTAAGGAGTCAGTTCTCAGTGGTTATCCACGAACCCCAATCGATGGTGGTTGTTGGTGGTTTATATATAGAAAGAGAGAGAAAAAGTAAGGCATCTTCGTCGGTTGTCGAAAATTAGAAAGAGAAAAAGAGAGAGAGAAGAAGCAAGACACAGAAAAAAAAAATGTGCACAGGACTTTTGGAATTAAATAGAACACGCACTTTTCAAAAAGGACATGTGGGTAAATTGCCCTTTTTATAATGACTGGGTGTTTGGGTGAGTTAACGCATATCTAAACTAATCCCAAGGCTCACATAAAGTGTCCCCTCAACGTGAATTCAGCAAATCTCGGGCAACACCTAGTGGAAGTGGAAATTGAATCTGAGACTTAAAGAGAACATATCCTAGACCCCAAACCTCCAAATCAAACTTTTGATATTAGTTTACACATTTGGTATTGTGGGACCTGTTATCAGGTTAGTTTATACATATGATTGGATTAGGATAATAAAGTTTGAAATTTATTGAGAAATCAAGATAGGTAGGTATTTTGGGTTATTTAGTATGATTTAAATAAATATACTTTTTAATTTTTTATAAAAATATATTCAGAAAAGTAAAGAGGTGATGTGACTTAAATAAGTGCACTTATATATATCATGTTGATTGCATAGAATAATGATTCTTTGGGTACATTATTATAAGTAATAAGGGGCCTATAAATTTTGGTGGGATTGAGAGAATCGTGAGGCGTTGAATTTCCTTTAAATATAGAGTTCTGATTGTCATTTTTTTTTTTTTTTTTTTTTTTTTTTTTTTTTTTTTTTTTTTTTTGTAAATGTAGACAATTTAAGTTGAATCACATAAATTTTTGTAGATTATATATTTTTTTTCTTTAGTGTGTATATGAGTGTGCTTTTGTTTGCATTGAGGGATGTGAAATCAATCCCAACTCAATCAAAGTATTAGCTAAAATAGTTTTGCGAATAGTGACTTAGCTACTTAAGTTGAGCCACTATTTACAAGTACTTACTATTTTTGTTCTTAACGCATTTACTTTTTCTTTTATTCTCTCATTTTCTCTCTTATAAAAACATTTAAGTAAATATTGTGAAAAAAGATAATTAAAATTCTATTTTCTTGGGCAAAAAATATTTTTTTTAAATATCTTTTACATTTTTTAGTGTTTGGTATAATAAAAAACGAAAGTTAACAGAAAATATTTTCCATGATCAATAAAAAAATGCCTATATAAGCAAAAAATATTTTTAACTTTTAAAAGACAATATATTTTTGGAAAATTTACCAATAAATCCTATTTGTTGAACTTATGATCCAAATAGTCCCTTATGTTTTTTAATGTTCCATTTGGTCCTTTCGTTTGTGAAATGACAGTAGTGCCATCTAGTATGGGTTTTTGGTGTAAGCGTGGCAGGTGTAATTGATCACGCGCGTGTGTTACATGGTTATTGGGTTTGGGTGATGGGCATGTGCATACCGGGTGGGTGTCGCACAACGTAAGAGCGCACTAAGGGTTTTTTTGCTTTATTGGTTGTGTGGGTCAATTGGCATGTGCCACACAACACCAACTCGCACACACTATTCACCATATCATCAAATTGGAATGGGGCTTGCAAACTGATAGCAGCGTTGGTATTGCCATAACAACAAATCAACATTACATGTGTCTCACACACCCACATCGATACACACACCCACACACCAGGGAAATCACATTTACAATGCAATACACATCGATAGCAGCATTAGTATTGCTTGCAATTTGAGAAAATCACATTTACAATGCAATACACATCGATACACACACCCACACACCAGGGAAACCACATTTACAATGCAATACACATCGATAGTAGCATTAGTATTGCTTGCAATTTGAGAAAATCACATTTACAATGCAATACACATCGATACACACACCCATACACCAGGGAAATTCACTTGTCACCAAACCGCAGTAACACAACGCCTATCCCAAAAACAGAACACACAACCAACCCTGCTCCACATACCCCTCACAGTTACACAACCCCCCAATGCAAAGAAACCAATGCATTGCTACGGAGGTGCCGACGTCTGAACTGCTACGTATATGACACCAGCACACCATCAACGGCTGAAATAGTATGTATGTCACACCGTCACACTGATACACACACCCACAAATAGTACGTACATATCATCAAATTGGAATGGGGCTTGCAAACTGATAGCAGCGTTGGTATTGCTTGCAACTTGAGAAAATCACATTTACAATGCAATACACATCGATACACACACCCACACATCCACACACCAGGGAAATCGACTTGTCACCAAACTGCAGTAACACGACGCCTACCCCAAAACCAGAACACACAACCAACCCTGCTCCGCATACCCCTCACAGTCACACAACCCCCCAATGCAAAGAAACCAATGCACTGCTACGAAGGTGCCGACGTCTGAACTACTACGTATGTGACACCAGCACACCATCAACGGCTGAAATAGTACGTATGTCACACCGTCACACCACCGCCTTTGAGCCCACCGCACAGCTAGTCCGAAACCCTAACGACAATGGTAGAGTCATCTGCTGAAGTAACATTTGGGTTACCCAAAATACTATCCAACATAACAAAAAAGAAAACGTATTCCCACGAATCACGCACAATCAAAAACACTGAAGGGTATAACCGTCCACACCACGACGACGTACATGGAAAAATATGCTGAAAAGGACCAAATCTCTCTACTAGTAGGACTTATTGGATCAAAAGTTTAAAGTTGGAACTGATTGGTATAATTGATTGTGGAATGGGATTTACTAGTAAATAATCTTATATTTTTCAAACTAAAATCTTATTAATGTCACCGCACTACCACTGTCAGTTTGCCACTGCTACTCTCACCTCTACCATCACACCACCGTCACCATGGCCACTGCCACCATCATTGTTACTATCATCGCCCTATTACCATGTTACCACCTCTACCTCCACCTTCACCTTCATTTCACTACCACCACTATCAAACATAAAAAATATATTTTACCCAAACAAAAAGAACATAAAATAAAAAGTATTGTTCAACTGTCCATTAAAAAAATAATTAACTAAAGAAATAAAGTGATTTTGTTTTATATATTTTTTTTATTAGTATTGCTGAGAAGCTCAACAATCAGACCATGGTTCATTATGCTATACGATTTTTGTTACTTCATGTTGTACATAAAAAAACATTGAGAAAATATCAAAAAAGTAAGAAGTTAGAAAAAAATAATTACAAATTCATGAAATATAAGTCATTTATGTAGTAAATTGTGCAAGTATTGTCCTTTCATGAATTTATAATTATTTTTTATACTTTATATTTTTTTGATATTTCCCAAAAACATTGGATTAGAGTAACTCTAGACAAATAAATATTTTTATTCAATTTCTTTATCCATACAGGTAATAGAATCTATCTTGATAAATATATGTGAGAATTTTACTTTATGTATAACAACATTAAAAAATTTATCATAGCCTTGTGCATATTTATATTTAATAATAAAACAATCTAATTAAAAATCTATTTACGTACATTATTACTATTTTCCTTGATGTCAAAATGATTTGAAGTTCTGCTACAGCCTTAATACACATTTGAAAGTTTTAACATAATGTGAAGTTCTGTAACACCCTTGTACACATTTGAAATATTATTAACATAGGTATGGATATGTCCATTGTCAAGGCATTTTAGGATTCGTTTGAGAAATAATTTTTTTTAATTAAAATATGAGATTAAAAAAATTAAAATATTTGAAAATAAATTTTAAATTTTTTTATTAAAAAATTGCAAAAAGTTAAAAGAAAAAGAAAAAATCTGACTTTTTAACTTTTTTTGTTTTTTTCAGTGACTTTGATTTTTTTTTTTTTTTGGTCACTTGCCTTAATCAATCACTCACAATAATAAATAGTGGAATCAGAGTAGGCAAGTAAACAATTCAGTAAATTTTAATGTTAAGAAAAAAAACCCAAACCAAATGGTTGTCAAAACAAAAACTGCAAGACCATGGAAAAATGCATTTCCAGAAACAAAATAGTACAAAAAAAATGAAAATACTAACAAACAAACCAAATCCATTACAGATTAGGTATGATATTCAATCTGACTGAAAGTAACTTAATATCACTAGTACACCTCTAATGCGATGTGCAATGGTGTATCCTTTACATATACATACATACAATGCAAACATTTAAGCTCTCTCATGTTTTTGTTTCCCTGTGGTCAGATTGAATTGGATTATGTAAACCCATACCAAACAACTAAAACAATTGAATTTGGATGGTAATAAGCATGATCTGTCAGAGTAATTAGATTGCATCGAGGGTTTTTTTTTTTTTTAACACATCATCGGTTTAGGATAATCGTGATCCAGTTTGAATGTAATCCACTGAGGCCTATTAGCATTCCTTGTCTTCGTAACAACAGAAGGTAATCATGTATCCATCCTCTAAAGAAAAGATAATAAATGGTGAGAGTTTGTAGCTTCCATCTGCTACATCATCAAAAGGAAGAAATTCAAATCAAAGGTAAATCATACCTGACACAAAACTGCCATCCGATAGGTTTTCTATTTCAGAGGCTTCATGCCCTGCACAATTCCAAATTAAAGCTTCACTTCTGAATCAAATACATTTTGTTTTTCGCAATCTTTAAAAGCCAAAATAATGATCTTAGACATGGCAAGGATTTAATATCACATCCTTACCTAATTGGGGATTTAAATGGAATATCACCTAGTTACAAATGAGAAGATTATTTTGAGTGAGAGAATGAAAGGTAACAGTCACATAATCAGTGCATCACTCACTCACCAAACAGCAGGTTTGCTCTTGAAATACTAAAAACAAAAAGAACAATTGGTACTCCCTCCTTTCAATATAAATCTCAAGGCCAGGCCAGAAAAAGGAAACTAAAAACTATTAATTATTCTCTCATAGGAAGAAATGTTATATGGTCTTCATAGGTGTCAAAAGATGAATAAAAAAAAGGACTCTGTCAGTACCATAAATAAATTGTCCATTGAATATGACTAGGTTTAAACTTTGTATTACTGATCATTATTATTGTTATTATTATTATGATTATGCAGGAAAATTTTGGAAGTTAAGAGAAATTAAGTCAAGTTTTAAAAATTTAAAGGATGGATGACAAGTGGCAACATAAGAAGGTGGAAGTTATATGAGTGGTTAGACAATGGTTAATAGAGGTTTTTCTTTTCTACATTTCTTTGTATAAATTTGCCATTGATGGCTCTACTGTAAAGAACCAACAAATCAATACATGACTTGATTTCTATTTCTTTTCTACCCTAGGAGTAAATCTAATATACATAGGAATAGTTTAAACTTAGATAGGAGTAGTCTTAATATACTTTACTTGTATTTGATTGTTTATTCAATCATTTACATCATCATCTTCTTCTTCTCTCTATCTCTTTTTCTTGTTTGTATTGCTATTATTTTTACTCCAAAGAAGTCCTTGAACTTTCAAGACATAAGAACCTCAACACAATTGCTTGATCATTGTGTTGTTCGGTGAAATCTTGGTTAAGGCTCTATCAATCTAAGCCTAACAAAAATTTTACTAACAAACTCATAACACTTAAAACACTCTTCGTTGCACAAGTTACAGATTACATGCCTTGTCTCATATGATCCTACATGACCCATCAATAAAACAGGCTAGCAGAAAATATGTCCAAAGGCTGAGAGTATGAGAAATCATAAACCATTGAAATCACAACAGTTTTTTCAAAACCCACAGTTTGTGTGTGTGTGTGTTTTGTTTTTGCGCTTTGTTTCACAGGGAAGAAAGGGGGCAGCTCAAACATGGAGGGAGAGGAAATCAAATAATGCTTGAAAAAGGATTGATGCAAAAATAAAGGAGGATGAGAAATCCAATCCATCAAATGTTTCATATGATAGAAGACTTTCAGAAGCAAGTGTGCACATAGGTTGGTTCAATTTGAGTTTATGCCTAACCCAAAAAACCAAATCAACTTGGTTCCCAAAATCACTATCAAACCCAACCAAAAGATTATAGTAAAGCTGAGTAAGTTCATCTTTTAAATGATTTTATAATATTTTTGAAAGAAAAAATATCATGTATCATCAAAACAAACTACTCCAATTAAACTTCCATTTCAATTATTGGTCCACAGGCTACCATAATAGCACAACAAGAGGTGTAACCAGTTCATAGAATCCATAGAATGGGGACCGTCAATATAGAAGAGGTTGAACAGAAAGGAGTCACTTTTAGCTAATGTGCAATGAAGTTTATACATCATTTTCATGTACAACAGTCAGTTTTCATTCCTCGAGTTTATATTGGCCCAAATCCAATAGAATTTAGATACACTTGTTCCAACGTCTGTTATTAGAATCTTACTATTTGTGATTCTATTCGCAATTCATGCATAGATCGATACGAATATGAGTAAAATCTATTTTGGGATAGAATTTATGGTGAATCACGAGATTCACGATTTGATTTAACTTTTTACGATTCATGTAATTCTTAAAACTGTCGTGTTCAATAGATTCTGATGACCCTTTTTTACCCCCTTTTTTTTTTTTTAATTGAGAATGCTATAATATAACTTGTAAGAGTGTTTAAAACAAAAATAATCAAAACCTAAGCATGATTTGTTATAAATGACTGAATGTGGTCTGCTTCATATGAGCAAAGATCCAGTAGTTTTTATTAATGTATCACCAATTGCTTCCAGCCCAACAAGAATCTAGAGCTATACAACTGCGAAAAAAAATTGATTATACTATCAATCCATGTCTGCAATAGGGGATCCAAAATAGTAGACACAAATCATCAAGATATTTTTAAATCCTACTGTAACTATTGAGAGAAAGAATACAAATGAACAATAACTACTCTACTAGTTTCCAACCTAAAGGGAAAAATTTGAAACTGCTATACGTATTGCCTACAAAAATGTAAGAATCACAGCCCCCAGTCTTTGGCCCCTTCTAATTCTATACCATGATGCAAATTACGAACCAACTCCTTAGAGCACTAAAGATATTCATGCTACTCTTCTTTCTTTCATTTTTATTTCTTTGCTTTTTTTCTTTTTTTTTTTTTGGATAAGTAATTTCATGTTCCAATATTAAGTGACTGAACAAACCATAATGTCTAATTTGGTAGACTACTCTTCCACATTCCAAATAAGAGAAGCATGTGTGTTTTTCATATCAGAAAGTTGGGAGTTTATTAAAGTTGCAGATTGAGGCCTTTCAATAGAAAAGCAGATGCAGATGACAGTTTGTTGACAAACTTCACATCAAAGTTGAAACGATTAATTATGTCAACCATACTGTATGCTAAGGCATATATAGCAAACTCAAATGTCATTTCAAACATAAAATATGATAAATCAATAATAAAATGATGGTACATGTGAGTTCTACCTTAGATGTCCTGAGCTCATTGACTGCCATTCTGAGCGAATCATCTGAAAGTATCAAACGAGACAGAGCCCCTGTGCTCAAACTGCAATATCACCAAATGCAATTAAAAATGGACTACAAACGGACATAAAAAATACAATCAAGAAATCGGACACTGAACTCAAGCAAATGTTAAGCACAACCACAACAAAACATCAATTTTTTCTACCGGTAGGAAAGGAAGGTTTTCATTACAATTATTCAATTCAACCCCTATGCAGGTTCTATCATTGCCTCTGGTACATGAAAACTGAGAATTGTAAATACAATCAACAAGACATGTCAAAAAAAAAGTGTCCATCTCAACCTTGATGCTAACTTGAAATTCAAACTCTTACATTATCATAATGAAGAGAATATGTTAATATCCAGTAAAAGGGCTTAAATTTTTTGAATGACCTACATAGGATTCAGAACTTAGTATCACGTACCCCAAATTCCTTGCTGCATCAGAAACAGAACCCTCAACTGCAAAAATTAGATCTAGCAAAGCTTGCATTCCCTATGAATTATTTAAAAACAATCAGTATTCATCTTCAATTTTTTTTAATTTAAAAATAAAAAATAAAAAAAAAACTTAAAAACTTCGAGTTAATAAAGAAGACGAAGATGGATGGCAGACACCAAAGCAAATTTTGGATTATTTGGCCCAATCTGCGGACCACACGATGATCCTCTGATGGTTGACTTCGCAGGAAGAATTTGAAGGAGCTCTTGAGGAGGTGAATATGCATCCAAATCTACTGTATTCCTGACTAGCTCATAAAAATTATACAGAATCTATTAGTGGAGATATTCAATTTCATTTAAATGTAATGGCACATTAATAGAAAGTGAGATGGCACATATTAGGGAAAGTTAAAGGATATGACTATTGTCCATGTGTCTGTCTGTGGATGTGTGTATTAGACAACAGTAGCATGCAATATAGATAATCAAATAGATGGACCTTCAGTTGACAAGATAATCAATATAAGGCAAATACAAAGTCATGAAAAATAGCACATGACATGCAACAATTATGTGGCACAACAAGCATATGCCAAATCACCAAAGAATAAAGCTGCCAAATTGAAATTCTGATGCACACATGATTTGGCCAAGGCCAAGCATTAGGAATAATGCCAATTGCCTCCTCGATAGACTTCATACTATGCAAAAGACAATGGTGGTACACAACTTTAAGATCAACTTTGTGGCACACAATGAACTTGGCTTGAAACATAGCAATCTGGCTGATTTGGAAAAATAAGAGCTGAGAAGTGTAAGAAATGCATACCTTTAAGAGCAAATAGATTGCGTAGGCGAGCTAGTGCTGCTGCACGATTCTTATGCTGTGATCTATCCTCTGCAGCCTATAAATAAATAAGTACCAATCAAGTCAACAAAGCAAAGACATTCATGAAGCGTTTACATCTTAGCTTTGTTAACAGACACGAAAAGCTAGGAAGTACGGATACAGATACGGGATACGGCGATACACCAAAATCTAAAAAAGTAGGCTACGGATACGGATACGTTCATAAAAAAATATATATATTTTTATAATTTTAATAATGTAATATGCATGAAAATAAAACCTAGCAAAAAAGCATTCATAAAAAATCAAATATTGAACTTCTTAATATTAAGCATTCATCATATAAAATTAATATCAAACAACATAAATTTGAAAAGTAAAATTAAAATAAAACAGTGCAATGAAATAATAACATAAAATAGTAAAATAATGAAAGTACAGTTATTTAGTGCACTGATAAGTTTTAGATATGTTTTAGTAGTGCACTGATATTTTTTAAAATACATAAAATTATTCTCTTTAAATAACATTTATTATATTTTATTTAATCAAATAAAATTTATATTTGATGTTAAAACAAAAAACGAGCGAGAAAGAGAGAGAGAGAGAGAGAGAGACGAAGAGGGAAGAAGATCGACCGAAGGGAACAAGATCGAGAGAGAGAGAAGAGAAGAGAAGAGAAGAGAAGGAGAACGAGAACGAGAACGAGAACGAGAGCGAGAGCGAGAGACAGAGAAGAGCGAGAGAGACAAAGAAAGAGAAAATGAGAGACAGAGACAGAGAGAAGAGAACGAGAGTGAGAGTGAGAGTGAGAGTGAGAGTGAGAGTGGGAGACAGAGAGAAGAGCGAGAGAGACAGAAAGAGAAAACAAGGGTGAGAGAGAGAGAAACCTGTTCTGTTGTTGTCGCTGTGGTCGATCGATCGATCGAAACAGAAGGAATCAGATTTTTGCTTCAATGCTTCTTCGTTTTGTGGATTGAAGTTAGGGTTTTTCTTCTTCTCTATGTTTTTTTGATTGTGGTTCATGCGTATGGAACCAGATTGTGGAACCAGTTAGCGTTTTTCTTCTTCTCTATGTCCTTCGATTTGTTGAACCAGATTTTTGTTTTTCAATTTTTCTTACTCGCCGTATCCCAAAAGTATCCGGAACATATCTCCCAAGTATCCATGTGTATCCAAGTGACATCCGAAATTCAAAAAATATATATACTTTTTTGCTGTATCCGATACGTATCCTGCTGTATCCGATACGTATCCTGGCGTATCAACGTAGATCCGTATCTGACACGTATCCAATACTCGTACGCCGCCCATTTTGGAGTATCCGTGTTTCATTGACGAAAAGAAAAGAAAAGAAAATTACTTATAACTACATATTGTCAAGACAACAAAGAGAAAAAACTATGACAGAATCCATTTCATCCCCTCACGGTATAGCTTAGAAGCACTTCACCCCCTCACGTTTATGCTGTTTTGAACATGGATTTGGGTAGGAATTTGGAAAGGGGCCCAAATCCATGATTCAACACAGATTAAAATAGTAAAGAAGACCTCATGTCATTTTGGACTAAAGTACAATGCTGACTCTGTTACAAACACACACATATATGAGGAAGTGCAGGACTTCTAGTTTGAATGCCTGAAAAATGCTACTGATCTTTATATGATTTCTATTGGCCGGTGATCGTAAGTTATACATATACATTATAAATATATCTTAAGTTATTTATAATATTATACTAGATTGAATTTCCATGGTTATCACTGACCATTGATGGATCTTATGAATTGTTAAACCCAAAATTCATAAAATTAGAAACCCCAAACCAATGGTCGCTATTCACACAATCGATGCATCTATGCAAATCCCCCTTGACTTCACATTAACGAGGTCAAAACTTCTGTCAATTTGAACAGAATTAGTAATTGTAGGAGATAAATTGCACAATGGTCGAAATCACCCGAGACCTTTTTGACTACTTTTAAAAATAAGGGGGTGAGTAAAATCAAGTTTGCCCAAAAAAAGTAACATCCTTGAAACAATATCTACTCATATTCCCCTCTCTTTTTTCAACCAAACAAAGCTATTGTATATATTATTTTTGGTTTCGTTCATCTCATTTTTGTTTTTTTTTTCATTTGTCTCAGCACAAATACAAGAACCAAAACATAACTGTGGGAGCCGAGTAATTGTGGACCAAATAAGGCCGAAGCCCGTTTAAAATGGGCCGAATAACGCCTAAGCCTATCGGATTGCGTCTTTGCCGAATGAAGGTCCGATTAAGCATGAACATCAGGCAGCGCCAAATAGCAGGTACCTATGCCGAATATAAGAGCCGAATGTTTTCATTCGAATTGGCATGAACCCATCAACTGGGACCAGCATGTCCCTTTCGAGGGTGTGCAGTAGGGGAATGGGCCATGACAGAATGATGATAAAGGTCCAAGTTGCATGAAGCAAAGATCGAGGAAAGTGACTCTATAAAAGGAGGAGAGAGGCTGGAGAAAAAGGTATGTAAAAATTAAAAAAAAACATTGAATCTCAAGAAACCTAAAAACAAACCACCCCATCTGCAAAAATTAACTTGTCCATCAGAATGTTAATTCGGACACCACTGTCCAAAGTTTTATTCTTATTTGAGAGATTTGGGAAGAGATTTGAAAAAAAAAAAAAATGAAAAAACAAGTGAAATATGAATAAAATATTGCTACATTTCACCTAATTTCACACACTTTTTTCCTTTCTTTCAAAATCTCTACCTAATTGCACGCACATTTTTCCTTTCCCTTTTCAAATTTCTTCTCAAATCCCTGACCAAACCCAGCGTAAGGGCTCGTTTGGACTGAATGAGTATTTCGTATCCACCTCCACACAATAACAAATAAAGCAATGAACACAAGAGCTACAAAGAAATCAATGAGAATGGAGTGGCAACCTTACCTGAGCAACAATGCCAGTAGGGAGGTGCTTGATACGGACAGCCGATTCACGCTTATTGCGATGCTGACCGCCGGGACCAGACGACTTGAAAGTATCCATATCACATTGGGTCATCAGCTGTTGGTCCGTCATAGCCAGCAATTCTCGACCATCACAAGCACAACCACCACCACCACCACTAGTAGTAGCACTGATAGTAGTGTAGTTGTTGTACAACAAGGGGGGATTGTCGGAAAAACCCACCTTGATTCTTTGGGAACTGCCTACGCCATGGTTCCTTCTTGGATAAACAAGAGAGCTTCGTGAATGAATACCAAAATCATAACATTTCGAAGAAGCATAGGAGAGAACATCAACGGTGGCACCGCTACTTCTCCTGAATTTGATGAGGAACGATTTCAAAAGCGATTGAGACATCATTCAGAGTTTTGAATCAATTTCTTCGTGTGTTCTCCTCCTATGACTTGATGACTAGGGTTAGGGTAGAGAAATTGAGCCCAAATCATCCATAACCCGTTGCAGAAAGAAATTTGACCAGTGTTGTATATCTGGGTTGTTTGGCAGTGGCTTTTTCTAATAAAAACATACATTTAATTTATAATTTTTTTTATTTTTTATAAAAATTAAAAATATCAAATTAAATAAATTTTTTCATTTCAAATTAAAATAATTAAAAAATTAAAAAAATCAACTTAAAAAAGGGGTATTTTTTTTAAGGTCCCTGATATTATGATTTTAATAGTATAAAGGACATCAAATATTTTCATGATATTTAGGGTCCCTCAACATCAATCCAGAGAAATTTCAGTCCCAGAGAAAATTGAACTTCTCTCCAAAGAAATTCTCTGGATTCAAACCAAAGAAAATTAAAATTTCTCTGAGTACTAAAGAAATTCTGAGAAAATTATGGTGAGAAAATTTGTGTATCTATTCCTCGAATTCCTAATTGCACCGGTCACATTGTCATCTTCAATTTCCTGACCTTGTCACTTTTTTATTACACTGTCTATCTCCAATCATCAGTGGGCAAGTTGTGTAGCAGAACGTATCTGTCTTGATGAATGATATGGATGCCTTCACTGTAACCTAGTCTGGCTTATCTGATCTTCCCAAGCCTTCGTCCTTGATCTGAGACACAGTTTTACAAATCTCATTCTTTGGTCCTCCAGGCATGTCCCTAGAGATGGATTGAGAAGCAATATTTTTGCCCCGTTCATCAAACCAAACTCTCAAGCTTTGGGCCTCTGGAAATTTCTCTGGGTTGAATCCAGAGAAATTTGAGAAATTCAATCATCGCGATCAAATCCCCGGAGGATTCAAATCCAGCGCCCGGCTTGTCGATGAGATTAGGATCGGCGATGACGAAGCAATCGGGGCACTCCCACTGGACACGAGTTTGCATTCTCTCCACAAAACAAAGGCATGTTGGTACAGGTGAGATGCATCATGGTCTCCATACACACCATGTTCTGCATTCTGTTGGATATCTCGAGAGTGAGATCTGCAATGGATCCATCAGCTCCCCATGTGATGTCGCAGAATGATGGGTTATGAATCACCATTCTCTCCATCCTCTCGAACAGATTGTCCACTCCATCTTCCGTCTTCGGAGGAAAGAACTCGAACAAGAACACTACTCTATCTCCTCCTTCTGCCTCTCTGATCTTCTCTATCACTTCATTTTTCGATCTACGTACCACTACCACTATCAGACTCAAAACAAATAGCTCCACCAGACCAGATCGATCTCGATCTCCTCGAGATTGATAATTAATTGCACAAATAATTGTTGTTTGCTGGTTGCCTTGGATCTAGAAGACAGTGGGTGAGAGGAGAAGAGAGAGAGAGAGAAGAGTAGAGACAAAGAGTCAAATTTCTCTGATATATGCTTAGGGACCTTAGACATCAAAAAATAATTTTGTGGATCTCTTCCATTACGAAAAGTAGGAGAGGGACCCTAGACCAATTTTCCCTTAAAAAAGTTACTTGTCAAACAGCAACTCAATGTATGGCCTATATTAGGAAGAGGGTTAAAAGTCACTTCTCAAATTTTAACCCATTTTCTACTCTTATAAAAAAAAAATTAAATCAAAAAAATAATTTTTAATTATTTTTCCAAAACACTCATACGATCGTATTTTCCACTATTAGTCGCGCTTCAATTTTGAATATGTGAGGCTCTTATAGGGGTGTAATTTTGGCCCGGCCTTATGGGCACCCGCCAAAAAATTGGGTTGGGCCAACCCATGGGCCAAAAAATTAAGCCCAGGCCTAGAGGCATTCGGGCTTTGGGCGAGCCAATGGGGCGGGCCCCTGGGCTTGGGCTTGGGCCTGGGCCTGGGCTCCGGCTTTGGCCGGGCCTAAACAAAAAAATTTTATTTTTTTTAATTTTTTCGATCAAAATTTTATTATTTTCCATTAAAAATAACACTGGGCATCGGGTGGGCTAGGTCGGGCTTTTGAACGGGCCTTGAGCGGACCAATGGCCTGGCCCACAGGCCGGGTTTCAAAACGATGACCCAGGCCCTAGTCCAAGACCTCGGGCTGGGCTCGGGCTCGGGTCTAAACGGGCCTTAACGGGCTGGGCCCACCTCGGGCCTCGAGTGAATTTCGGACTACCTGCAGGCCACGGGCCAAAATTACACCTCTATTAACACTTTGGAGCAATTTTTTCCCCAAAAAATCTTAATAGCTATCAGTAGATCATTTTATTTGGAGCAATACTACTCACCAACAAGTTTAGATCTACGCTTCCGCTTACCACACTAACGAATTGGATAGTATAACAAATCAAGAATTATTATATAATATAAGTAAAAATGTTATTAATTCTATGAATTCAAAACTTTAAAATTTTTGAATTAAAAAAATATAAAATGACACCTGTCATGAGATCATTGGCCTTTTCATTTTAATTATAGTTATTGGATCTTTTATCATTATAGTAATAGATATTGTGTGTGTCAATTTCCGACCACACTGCCAACTCAGTATTCAACTAGAGAGCACTGGCAGAATAGATGGCGCCTGATTGACTTGCAACAGAAAGAGAAGATTCCGGCGGTGATTCGTCCACCCAGGGGCACTCCGACGATCAAGTCAGTTATCTCTAAAAAATAAATCAAGCGCTTAACTCACTATTCAGAATACAAATTACGTACCTTAGACCCATGTGGGTGCCTCTCTTTTATAGCCATCACTTACCTAATCCCAATAGAAGCCTAGCTTCAACTGACTTAGGATTACTACTAATCTTGGACTCCCAGTAGGATTGGGATAAACTCTCTAAGAGTCTTATCTTTATCCAAACTGAAGTCCTCTCTCATTCTAGGACTCTTGTCCCTTATCTGCTTATCTCGGATTCCGATATCTTCGGAGGTAACCTCGGCCTAGCCGAGATAACCTCGGCATCACGACCAGGACACGTGGCACCTTGGCTGACACGGCGGCATCACCTTGGCCACGTGTTAGTATCTCAGAAAATATATCCCCACAACTGCCCTCTAGGTTCTATTACCTCGGCATTCTGAGGTGATGGAACTTATATCAGAACTTCCTTCCAGTACGTCGGTTTAAAATTTCTTTAGCCGGGATCATCATACAGGCCGACATGTTTTTTTTAAAGGACAAGAATTCCAAGAGTTTCTTCACACGAATGAGCTGTCATGCATAATAACTCAACCGTTTTAGCCACGCGTCTTCCTTTTACTGGATCGTACTTGATACACGCCTGTAAGTCGTTTCGCGCCTGCGTGCGCCGTCTGACGCATACGTCGTTTTAGGCGCATTAATTGTCTTTTTGCCGTTGTTTCAAGTTTTTGACAAAAACTTCCTTCTTCTTTCGTCTTTTCACTTTACATCGTTTGTTTTTTTAGGCTTTCTCTCTCTCTCTAGCTTTTTCTTCCAAATCCTCCATTGTTCAAGCTTTCCCAGCTCTGCAATTTTGCTGTATTCGTCTTCTCTGGCATGATTTTCATCACTTTATCGCTTCTACAACCGTTTGCCTGACATCAGGCGATCCTTACACCGGTTTCACTTTTTCTGGTAAGCCATTGTTCCTCTTGGTTTTATTTCTTGTTGCTCTTCAAGAAGTTCCACATTATTACTTGTTGCCATTGCTATTTTGCTCAAGTATTCAATTTATGAATCATGTATCTGAGTGTGTTTATTGCATGACTTTGCTTTTGCCCATGTCCTGAATACACACAATGCTTACAATCTTCTTGCATTTTTGCCACTATTCTTGGCCTTATACCCTTGCAGTAATTATGGCACAATGTTCTTGATAGTTCATCACTGTTCTTGATTCTGAAACACATTCTTGCTTTTCTATTTTCTGTGATTTTTCTAGATTCGTGCCTTCAATCTTCGTTTCCATAGATCTGGGCTTGGGATTTGTTTGTAGAACCCACGAATCTTAGGAAAAACTGAAACAATTCCCCATAGATTCTGTGTATTTTTGGGCTTTAGCCGAGGTCCGTAAAACCCTCCAAAGCACCCCCATCTGAAATCCAACTCCTCTAGTTAAGCCGATATCATGGGTATGTGGAAACATAGGGTAGACACCCCGACCAAGTTAGAGCACTTTAGGCGAGAGTTTGACATCCCGGCCGACGTTCATCTGAGGTTGGCTGGGGAGGATGACTCTATCATGCGCACAGCAGATTCTATTCCTTTCCCTGTTGTGGCCTTTATTGAGTGTGGTCTTAGGCTCCCACTCAACATCCTTTTTCGAGAAGTCCTCCTCTACTATAAGTTAAACCCGATGCGGCTCACCATCAATTCCTACCGAGTCATCAATGGTATAATAGCCTTAGCCCGACAAGAGAATGCTAGGGTTACCTTAGCCGACATCCAATACTGTTATACTATGTACGGCCTTTCACTGAAAGAGAAAGGTTATATCTATTACCTCAAGCCAAGGTCCACAGAGTATAAAATCGTGGCCGACCTCCCAGACTCCAACAAGGGAGCTAGAGATGATTACTTCATTACCTCGGGAAACTGGGAGTTCGCTCTAGACGAGGACCTCCACCTCTATCCTCTTCCTCGAACAATTTTTATAGAGGGTAATGGTAAAAGCCCAATGTTTACACTTACTTGTTTTTTAAAATCTCCAATACTTTGATCTAATGTCTGTGCTATTCTTTTTTGCAGTTCTTCCTCAGCCGCCAAAGGGCTTCCGCCAGTCTTTCTTTCTCAGCAAAGACTTGAGGAAACTATTGGATCTGCCAGTCCACAAGAGAAGAGTCCCTTTGGTACTCAATTTCATTCCTACGTACAAATCTGTTTTTCCCGACGCTCCAAAGAAGAAGAAGAAGAAGAAGAGTCTGTCCCCTCCTTCCGCCACAACTCCTCAAGCTGTCTCCACATCTCAGCCAGATCAAGGATCGACTTCTGATCCAGCGGAGCAGCCGTCAACTTCGGCTCCATATCTGATCCCAATATCCTAGCGTAAACGCCGGCAATGAACTGTTTTTGCTGCCGAGATGGGCCGCCAGAAAGCAGTTGCTAAAGATCTTTTAGCCAACATTTCCTCTACCGTAGATGCCCAAC